ATTCTTCCTATAGCAGAGCGACCAGATCTATACGCTGTACTCCGAAGGTGGCCTCATCAACATCCTGTACAGCTGCAACGGTGCCAAATCCAATACTCAATATTCTGACTAATGAAGGCAAACATGTCAAACACCTTCTTCACCACTCTGTCCATCCGTGACATCACTTTCAAGGAACTATACACCTGAACCCTTAGGTCTCTCTGTTCAACAACGCTCCCCAGGGCTCTACTATTAACCGTGCAAGTCCTGCCCTTGTTCGTCTTACCAACACGAAACACCTCTCACTTATCTAAATTAAACTCCATCTGCCACTCCTAGGCCCATTGATCCAATTGGTCAAGATACCATTGTACTCTTAGGTAACCTTCTTTACTGTCCACTACACCACCAATTTTGATGTCATCCACGAACTTATTAACCATGCTTCCTATAATCTCATCCAAATCATTTATATGAAGTAATGTTTACATGCATTACTTGGCTTTCTGTCATCATGTCTTTGTCACATTTTTGGTCATGTTTCTCCATCAGAACACTGCCTCTTTTGGACTGTGTGGAAGCAGTCTGACAAGTAAACTGAGAGGAGGGGTAAAAGTGGTTATAGCACAACCCTCCTGCAACCACGATTGGTCTGTCAGAGAGAAGCCACATTCAAACGTGAGCCAAGATTTCCCTTGGATTCCATGTACAAGTAACAGAACAGAGGCTGCACAGATCTGACCGGAGATAGATGATTGCGAAGGTGAAAGTGATTAGCTGATGCTTCTAGACAGAACTTGGCTGGCAAGGTGGCTCAGTGGTTAATACTGCTGCCTCACAGCACCAGAGACCCAGGTTTGATTCCAGCCTCAGACGACTGTCTGTGCTGAATTTGCACATTCTCCCCGTATCTGTGTGGGTTTCCTCTGAGTACTCCAGTTTCCTCTCACAGTCCAAAGATGTGCAGGATAGATGGATCAGCCATGGGAAATGCAGGATTACATGGATAGAGTAGGGGGTTGGTCTGCGTGGGATGCCCTTCGGAGGGTCGGTGTGGATTCGATGGCCCAAATGGCCTGCTTCCGCACTGCTGGGTTTCAAAGAATCTCTGATTCTTGACAGAGTAGGAGAACAATGCCCATCAACCCAAATTCACATTGCTGTGTGTGCAACCCATAAGTGTAAATTGGCTGTTAAATTAACCTGTATTACAGAAGCTGTTTTTTTGAAATGGAATTAGTTGGATGTGAATACTCTGCCACATTCAGAGATGTTAAGAGCAGTATATAAATGCAAGTTTGTTCTTTTTCTTACTGAAGTATTGTTACTAAAATGTTTCCAAATTCTGTAAGATACTGCTGCAATATACTGTTACTGCAACACATCGACAGGAGTGGCCTACCTAGTCCCTCAAGCTTGTTCCAACATTCAATGAAATCATATCTCCACTGTTACCTAATTCCATAAACACATCTTTGACCCATATCTTGAATACCTTTATAGAAATCTATTGACCTCAGTTAACAGTTAACCCAGCAATAATTGCCACTCTGATTAAAGTTCCAAACACTATCTGTGCGCAGAATATAATTCTGAAAGGTTTGCTTCTGGAGAGCTAAGAACAGGATCCCACATCAACTTGTTGATTCACTATTTTGATACTTATTTTTATATTTTATTGGCAATCTGAAGATTTGCAGGAAGAAGCGAAGGACAGTTCTTGGTTGTGACCAAAGATGTAGGTTGTAGAGGCTGTCTTGAAGGGACAAGGGCAACTGAAGCAGGAGTAGACTATTCAGCCTTTTGAGCTTGCTCTGACATTCAGCTAGATCATGGCTAATCTTCTACCTGAACTCCAGTTTCCTGCACTATCCCCCAAGAGGCACGGTATCGTTAATATCTAGAAATCTACTGATCTTGGTTTTGAAGCTAATAAATCATTTTAAATAAAATAAAGCAACTTTGTAAGTCACCATTTCATACATCAAATAAACCTTAAAACTTAAGATGAAAGCAAATAGTTGTTCTGTACAAAATACCACGTTACCATTATTGCAGTGACTTATTAAGAAATCTCACAGACTATCAAATACTGAAATTAATAATTTAAAATTTAAGACCCCTCAAGTAAGCAAGTATAAGCCTGAAACCCAACTTAGCCATTAATAGTGAAATCTGGCCAGGATTTCAAACAATGGTAATCTGTCTCTGGAAGTTTCCAGTGTTTGATCCTTCTGCAGTGTTGTTCTTCAAAGTTCTGCCATTGCGTTGTTCTGATGTTGGATTCTTATACAGTTTTCTCTGTTTCAAGTTTTTAGCACGGCATTATTGATATCCAGTAGATTCTTTCATCCCAATATTGATTATACTTTCGGAGACTCAAGTCTGCAGATTGCCTTCTTATCAAAAATAGCTCCTTTGTTCCATGTTACAGTCGGGATTAGTTGTCTGTTTAAAACACAACTTTTTCCTGCAATTAACCCCTTTACTTCAGAACTTTACTCTTCAGGCAGGTCTAATTGCCCACTTGTCACAAGGCAGCAGATTATCAAGAGTGTTATCTCCTCTCTCCCAGGAAATAGCTTGTTTATCTTCCTTCTTCCAAGGGATGGTCAATTCACATGTTGTTGTTACTCCTTTTTATAACAGTTTCTCATTGTTCCTTTCATTTCAAGAAACAGTTTATCCCAAAAAAAATTACTGCTGCTTCTTTCAATCCATGTGTAACAGTTTATCTTTGTTAACTTTTCCAATCCATGAACAGTTATTAAAGTTCTGAATTTTACATTGTCACATAGTCATTGTGATGGCAAGGATATAGGACTAGGAGCTCAAATTGAGATCAAACCATTTATCAACATTGCAATAGCATGGCTCAGCTGGATTTGGGGCTAAATTCAGTGCTGAAGGTGTGGAGTTTGTGGTATGACTGACTGAAGACTGAGGTTGATATTCCACTTGAAAGATGTCCTCAGCAGTGATCCCTGGGACTATGTACTCAGTAAATCTCTCAGCATTGATCTCTGGAACACTCCATTCAATACAGATCACTAACACCAATCCCGGAGACATTCCAAACTGCACATTAGCACAGAATTATTACGGTGCATAAGGAGGCCACTCAGCCCATCATGCCCACAAGGAACATTTTAACTTACCAACCCTGCACATTGTTTCTCTTTAAATAATCATCTAATGCCCTCATGAATGTCTTAATTGAACTTGCCTTCACCACACTTCCAAGCAGTGCTTTTAAGACCCTAAATACATGTTGTGTGAAAAGGTTTTTCTTAGCTCACATTTCTTCTTTTGGAAAACACTTTAAATCTGTGTTCTTTGGAGTTATAGGTTCTCCCTTTATTCTCTTCATGATTTTGAAATCATCGTCAAATCTCCTCCAACAATGACTCTGAAGAAACTCCATGCAGTACATTTCCTGGCACTGATTTCTGGGACACACAGCATACCTCCTTAACACTGATTTCTGGGTTTGCCACTCAGTGTACCTCTCCCAGCACCAATCCTGGAAATTTATCCCTTGGTTCCCTAGGACATTCCAATCACTACAAAATGCATTGCAGCAATTCACCAAGGCACTTTCAACAGCATCTTCCAAAACCATGACCTCTATCACCTAGTACAAGGACAGCAGATACATGGAACAGCACCTCCAGCAAATTTCCCTCCAAACTAAGTGGGCAAAGTCTTCTGTGGTGGTCCTTCCTTCTTTCTCCCGTGAGACTTTCTCCTCTCTGCCTCATCTTCCTCATGTTGCAGAGCAAGTAATACTACAACTACAGGCCCATGCCTATACATGGCATGTTATTTCCTCCCAAATGATAATGGCAGGAACATTTTCAAAATTGATGTTCATATTCAATACGTTACCTGGCTTGAAGTTTTTGAAGGCCAATGCGGTACTTTTCCTGTTCCCATGCCATTTCTTTATAAACTAACTCAATCCGATCAGCAATTTGTTTCTCAATCTCTTCTCGAATCTGGCGATCCAGCTCGAAAGCCTGATAGAAGCAAGAAACACAAGTAACAGTATTAAATACAATTGGGGACATAGGAACACACAATTGGATCAGACAAAATTTGGAAGATGAGCTGACAATTGCCAAATTTTCTGTGGATAAATGGAAGGTAATGAAGCTAAGGAAGAAAATGGGTATATAAACTGAATGGTTGCAGGATTCAAGGCAATTTTAGAGGTACGGAGTGTGAGCCGTTGCTCAGTGATTATTCTTCTGCCTCAAGGTCTGAAGGTTATGTTTTGAAGCCCAATTCAAACAGCTAAGTTTATAGCTGAGGCTGATGTTTAGTGTATTACCAATGGAGAGTTATTTTTAATGAGATATCAATCTGTTTTAATGGGTGTGAAAGATTTGATTTGATTTGATTCATTGCTGCCACATGTACCTCAGTAAAGTGAAAATTTTTGTTGTGCATGCAGTACAGGCAGATCATAACATATAAGGTCATACAGATCATAGGATATTTAGACAGAGTGAGGCATATAAGTTTATGGCTGCACAGGAGGTGCACAAAAGCAAGATCAACCATAGCATTTTTGAATGAAGTGCAGGAAGGTCTACTAGTGCCACAATTAACAGCCATTCTTCAGTAAATAACCACTGTTAATAATAAAAAAACTGGTCAAGCATTTCTCTTTATCATTTGTACTTGGATTGCAGGCAATACAGATTCAGTCGCTTTTATTTTAAATTTTTGTTATCCTGAATCAGTGCAAATGGGCCACCAGTTTGATTGTTACGGAGTTACTGCAGCCCCAGAACATAATTCCATATTCATGCTGCTATTGAATCTGATACAACCAACATTACTTCATTCCTTCCAATATGTCCTGAAAATACTATGACTTGGAATATTAACTGCCTGCTCCCATCCAGTTCTAGTTCTATTATCATATCCTTGTGATTTGTGCCCTGCTGCAAAGTTTTCACCCTATTTCCTTCTGGTTTTAAATATTGAGGAATTAGATGCAAGAACGACACTGTGATAATGATTGTAAATTAAACTGGCAGCTCAATTCCAGTGCAAAGTGAATCTCAACTCCAGAATCAGCTGATGTACTGAGAATAAATGTGGACCAGAAGTACTGAAGAAGAACTGAACCAGCTACTTTCTGAGGTTATTGTATCCCTCCAAATGGTGCATCAAATTTGACAATGCCCAGTTCTTGTTAATTCCCTTCATGAGGTCCACTAAATTTGTGCTGTCTTTGATGTGCACACTTTCAAAGCATAACACTAGCACTACACTTGGTTCAACAATGATTTTCCAGTCCTGGGTGTCAGCCGGCCAGCAAAGCACGCAATGTAGTTAATACGAAAAATATTTCTGGAAAAAAATCATTGCTATTTTGAGACAGAGATGTTATTGGTTAACCAAAAGTTAAGTAACAAACAATTAAAATCTACCTCTTTGTTGAGCTGGACATGCTCAGGTAGTTCCGCATTTTTTATTTGAAGTTCTCTAAACTCATCTCTCAGGTCGCGCAGCTCCAATCTTTTCTTTGCCTTCTTTTCCTCTGCCAGCTTCATAATCAGATCCAACTCTGCTTTCTTTTTAGCGTTTTCAAGGCTAAATGTGATGTAAAAATTTTTTAAAAAGTGATAAAAATCCCACAGTTATTCTCATTAAAGTTTGCTCAGAAAACAGGTTAAGATGAATAAAATATAGAAAACAGAAACAGAAATTGCTGGAGAAACTCAGAAGGTTCAGCAGCCATGAGGAGAAAGCAGAAAAATACAAAATGCTAGAAATACTCAGTGATTCAGGCAGCCTTTAGGGAGGAAAACAGAGTTAACATTTCATTAACATTAACTATAACTGCTAACTGGACTATAAGTGCTAGTGCATGTTAACATTAACAGCTACCCTGCCTAGTTCATATGATCAACTTCAGAGTTGTCACAGTGAAATGCTGAGTCAGCGGGCAGAGGCCAGACTCCCGCCACACTGATATTTTTTATCTTGTATTCCCCTAATGCAACTTGTGATGTCTAAGATAATCTCAGGAGCTGTAGTTGGTCACTTGGGCACAATCTAAGATTAAGGTGGAACTGGAAGAAAGTTCCATAAAAGAAAAAAAATCATTTCATTCACTGCAAGTTGATTGTGATGTCTAGCTTGCACATACTACAATATTGCAGCAGGAGGAAGATCACAAGGAAATGATAAGGTGTACAATATGATCTGATTTGATGTGATTCATTACTTTCACACATACTTAGGTACAGTGAAAAGTTCTGTTTTGTGTGCAGTACAGACAGATCCTACCATACAAAGTGCATTAGGGCAATAGAACAGAGCGAAGCATATAATGTTATGGCAGCAGAGAAGGTGCACAGAGACCAAGATCACATTTAATTTAAAATATGAAAGGCCCATTCAGAAGTCTGATAACAGCAGTGAAGAAGCTGTTCTTGAATCTATTCATACATGTATACAAACTTTTATATCTTCTGCCTGGAAGATGGAAGAAGACGCATCAGAGTATAATCAGGGTGGGGGGGTTCTTTGATTATGTTGGTTGCTTTCCCGAAGCAGTGGGAAGTATAGATGGAGTCAATGGATGCAGGGATGGTTTTGTAATGCACTGGGCTGTGTTCACTACTCTCTGTACTTTCTTACAGTCTTGGGAAGAGCAGTTGCCAAACCACGATGTCATGCATCCACAAAAATTGGTAGGAGTCCTTATGGACATATGTTGCCACACAACAAGTTAGTGAGGAAAGTACTAGGTCATGGGACAAAAGGGACGGTAGCAATGTGGATACAAAATAGAGAGATAGGAAACGGAGCATGATGATAAATGGGTATTTTTCAAGCTGGAGGAAGATGTGCAGTGGAGCTCCCCATGGGTCAGTATTGGGACCGTGGATTTTCTTGATGTATATTAATTATGCAGATCTTGCTGTGCAAGGTACAATTTCTAAACCTGCATATGACACACAACTTGGGAGAATTTTAAACTGAGAGAAGGATGGCATTGAATTTCTAAAAAGATATTGAGAAGTTGGTTGAGTGGGCAATGGGGGCAAATGAATTTCAATGCAGAGACGGGCAAGGTACCTTGGTACAAAGAATATGGAATGGCAGAATTAAATAAAGAGCACTATCCTAAAGGGTATGCAGGTGCACGGAGGCCTGGGTGTATATGTCATTAAATGTGGCAAGAAGTGTGGCACGGTGGCTAGGCGGTTAGCCCTGATGCCTCACAGCACCAGTTTCCATTCTACCCTTGGGCAATTGTCAACGTGGAGTTTGCACATTCTCCCCATGTCTGTGTGGGTTTCTGGTGGGTGCTCCAGTTTCCTCGCACAGTCTAAAGATGTGCAGGTTAGGTGGATTAGCCATGCTAAATTGCCCATAATGTCCAAGGATGTGCAGGGTAGGTGGGTGAGCCATGGGAAATGCAGGGTTACAGTAATAGGGTAAGGGGTGTGTCTGAGTGGGATGCTCTTCAGATTGTCGTTGTGAACACAATGGGCCGAATGGCCTGCTTCCACACTGCAGGGATTATGAAGACAGAATAATTAATAAAGCTTCATCAGCCATGATCTCACTGAATGGTAGAGCAGACTCAATGGGTTGAATGTTTTACTTCTGCTCCTAAAATCTTATTAGTAGTATCATAGAATACAAGAGAACAGAGATTATGATGAGCTTACACAAGACAGTTAGACCTCAGTTGGAGTTCTGGGTACAACAGTATAGGAAAGATGTGAAGGCATTGGATAGAGTGCTGAAGAAGTTTACAAGAATGGTTCCAGGGACGATAAACTTCCATCACGAGGATACATTGGAGAAATGCAACTACTTTCTTTGGAGAGGAGAAGGCTAACAAGAGATTTGACAGAAGTTTTCAATATCACGAGGGGTCTACACAATGTAGATAGGGAGAAATTGTTCCTGCTTGTAAACAGATCAAAAATTGAGGGAACAGTTATAAAGTGTTTTTGCAAAAGATGCAAACGTGAGATGAGCAAAAGCTTTTTCATATACCAAGTGGTTAGTTTCTGGAATACACTGCCTGGAGGTGTAGTGGAGGCAGATTTAATTGAGGCATTCAAGAGGACATTTAGTGAATAGAAATAGTGCACAGGGTTAGGGAGAAATGGCAGGAAATCAGCACCAAATCAAAATGCTCAGACAGCCAATGTAAACCAGATGGGCTGAATGTCTCTTTTTGCACTGTAATGATTCAAGGTACTGTTACCATAAGAAATGCAGTACAATCACAGGACTCAAACAGTATTAAAGGATTTAAGGTAGAAACCTCTAAAGCTTCTTTCATGACCCCAAGTCACCACAAGGTTTACAACCTCATGCCCTAGCCAAACTGTTCTAGTAGTTACAACACCGGGAGAAATCAGTTGGGCAGCTTGTTCTTAGCAGACATCCCTCCAACACAACCAGATAAATCAAGAACCTCTCCAAGCCATGTCCTGTTCAAAAATACTCCAACAAAGCAACCAGTTATCATCATTTGATTTCAAGGAAGCTTGTTAAAAATTCTCCAATGTCTAGTGATCTTTCAATGACTTCTTTTAAAGAAACCACTCCAGGTATTTCCATAAAACATGAAACAAAGTCCCTTTTCCATAAGTCTTCAAAACTAAAGTCCTCTAAGCAATATTAAATAAAAAAAATCTTCATAACGTAGGAAAAGAAAGAAGGATGTATATGGAGGCCAATTATCCCAGTTTCAGTACATCAGTGCAGGAGTTCTTCAGGATAGTAACTATACACCCCACCTTCAGCTCATTCTTCAATGACCTTTGCATCCAAAGGTTTAGAACATTTAAAACAATTGGACAAAACCAGGGCATATGGAATTTGGAAAATATTTTCCAATCGCCTTGTTCAGAGATGTTATAATGGACCTCTGGAGTAGGTGGGACTTGAACCCAGGCCTTGACTACCACTGTGGCACAACAGTCCTGCAAATGCAATTTGACCACATTAAGAAATACTCTTAGGAATAAGAATAAAAGAGACCAGGCAGCATCTATAAGGGAGAAAGTTAGAGTTGCTGAATCCTAAAGAGAAGCACAGAACAGCTAAGTGGGAAGTCCAAGAAGGGAATGGGCAATGAATGAAACAACAAAAAAGTAGGTAAAACACTTTATTTTGGCAGTCCAAAATAAAAAGAGCTATTGCTGGAGAAACTTGGCTGGTCAGTAGTGAGAAGAGAGGCAATTGAGCTGGAAGGGGTTTGACTTTCAAAGGACTGCAAGATCAGGGCATGGTGCAGGCAGGGTTTCAAAACTACAGTCAGGGGTTTTTCTCAGAATCTTAATGCTTCTGGACAGTTTTAAATTTTCAAAGGCTCTGTGGGAACATGGGAAACACACACTCTTCCAATTAACACCCCCTTAATGAACCTGTTGAGGAGCTTGTGCGGCGGAAGATTGCAATTTGCAACCCTTCATTTACTGAACATGAACAATCAGTTTCAGCGGGTGAACAGTCAAGTTTACCATGGGAGCATCAGAAACTTCCTTTCCATTAATTTGAAGTTGACCTTCTTTGGGCCACCTAACACCAATTACTGCATTCCATCATCACCTAGTCTACTTGGCAGCTTTCACTGCAGTGGCCATTGCTGGCTTTCTCGGGAGCTGCTTGATTTCTTTGACAAATCACAAATCCAATGTGGCAGTTACCTGCCTTTTCCAGTGGCGTCAGGCAGGCAGCATATCATGTTATTTGGGTGTTGAGTCTACATGCTGACAAATTAGGATTTTGAATTTAAAAATAAATTAAAGCAACACAGTCTGGGTCTGGATGCAGTGTTGCGAGCTGGAGTTCATCCGGTGTCGGGTTCCTAATCCTGTTTTGACAAACCGGACCTAACCTCTGCCTCCTCTTGACAGAAGCTGTGTGGCCAGTCACAATTACATTTTTTAATTTTGACTGCCAGCAGTTGCAGTGTTTCAGTTTTGGAAGGGGCAATGTATCATTGAATCTTACATACAAGAAGTCCATCTGGCCCAATTCAGACCAATTCAGTTTCTGATCATTGGTAACTCCTAATATGTTGATAGGTAGTGATTCAGCAATGGTGAGGCCATTGAATGTCATGGGGCGATGGTTAATTCTCCCTTGTTAAATGTGGTCAATGATTGGCGCTTTTACACAATTAAAGGAGCAGAGAAACGTAGAAAGGTTGCAGGAGGTTGATCAAATTGCAGAAGTTGGGGCCTCGGCTGCTGAAAGCACAATTACCAAATGGTGCAGGGATAAAAATCAGCAATGCACACCAGGTCAGAAGTAGAGTTTAGAAATCTTACAGGGATGTGAGGTAGGAAGAGGTTATGTACAGAGAGAGGGAAACAACCATAGAGGAGTTTGAAAACAAGGATAAGGATTTCAATTTTTCCCAGAAAGGAAGGTGATATTTACTCTACACGACACATTTATAACTCTGCCCAGACCTGAGCAGACCCCTCAGAGAATTCTACATTCCTATAAAAGACTCACTTTTTTTCAATTCATTCACAGGATGAGGGTAATGTTGACTAGGCCAATTCCAGAAGATAGTTAAGAGTCAAGCACATTGCTGTGGTCTGGAGTCACATGTAGGTCAGACCAGGTAAGGGTGGCAATTTCCTTCTTTAAAGGTCATTAGTGAACCAGCTGGGTTTCAATAATGGTTTCATGGACCTCATTAGACTCTTAGTTCCAGGTTTTATTGAATTCAAATTCCACCATCTGCCATTTGAAACCAGGACCCCAGAACATTACCTGGGTCTCTGGATTAAAAGTCCAGCGATAATACCACTAGGTCATCACCTCCCTCTGGTGGCTTTCTGCATTCACAAAATTCTGAGGTTCTGATACAGAGGTTGAATATTTCACACCAACGCTTCACATACTTTTTTTTTCATTCACTTCTGAACATTATTACATCCACATCAACAGGGATACAGTTTTATCTTTATATTTTCTAAATACCAACATACCTGTAGGCATTTGGATCATCAATGTCATCTGCTATTTTCTCTATTGCAAGATCTCTCTATCAGAAAAAAATAAACATATCAGAGAATTTTCCTGACTGCAATGCAGTTCAACAAGCTGTAACAAATTATATTCGTACATGTGAACGTCTACGAGTGAGCTTGATGGGTGTGGAATTGAAATGTGTTGACTGCGTATGTATGATTAATGTGAGGATGAGTTGAGTGTGCATAGTTATGCATGTACACTTTGTAACAGGCTAAAAAGGGATAACAATTACATACCAAATACAAAGAAGTATTTGACAAGGTTGTGCACCAGAGAATATGAATAAAAATGAGAACAGAGTTGGAGGTGGCCTTTTGATTAGAGTTGGAAGTTGTTTGGGCAGTAGGATAGAAAGCAGGGATATAAGTGAATGTACTCTGAGTATAGCTGAAAACAGAGACATGCTGTTGAAGCTTCTCAATCTTGCAATGTGACAGCATTTCTCTTTTTCAACAGTAATCAAGTCCGGTTTCACCAAGCAACTATTCAAATCCTCTGACTGATTTGGTGTGACAAGCGATATTCGACAGGAATTTGTCCTCGAGTTTCAGCTTTTCACCAGATATATCAATGACTTTGAACAATGATGAGTGAGTTGTGTATTTGGGTTTGCAGATGACACTAAATTATGAGATAGCAGTAGGTTGTATAGATGGAAACGAGAAGTTACAAAAGGACATCAACTGATTGAGTAGTAGTAGGCAGAACTGTGAAAGTTAAGGGCTGGAATTGGTCTGTGCCAGCAGTGCAGAATGGACCCAATCGCCAATTTTCCACTGGACTCAATCTTTTCCAACAGGATTATAGATCAAATGCTTTTGGGTGAATCACTGCTTAATCTGTGTTTACTTGATTTGAAATTAAAAATCTTGGAAATATTTCCCAAATCAATGGAACATACAAGTTATAACAGGCTGCTGATTTCATTCCAGGCCTGCTGTGTAGACCAATTTCACCCCAATAAAGTTCACTGTAGAAAAGATTAGATTCACAAAGGATAAACACTTTTTTTGTATTGACTCATGGGATGTGGGTGTCACTAGCTGGACTAGCATTTATTGTCCATCTCTAGCTGCCTTCTTAAACTGCTACAGTCCATGTGCTGTAGGTGGACCTACAATGACATTTAGGACGGAATTCCAGAATTTGTCCTAACTACACTAAAGGAGAGTAAAATATTTCTGTGGTATTATTGGAATTGGAACATTTGGCAAGATTGCTCAACAGGAAAGGGCTAGGAACTATGAAACTTGAAAAGCAAAGGCTTTTAAGATGTTCACATACACAAAGTTTTTTTAATCAAGAAACTATCAGTCTAGGCCATATGCGACAGTTCCAAATACCACAACGTTAAGCAATAAATTGTCCTATCGTTCATGGCACTCAATTCTTCAATTCTACAATCATCCAACCTTCTTAAAAAAGCACTTGAAACTAAACACCCCAGAGGTTGCTAAAGGATGTACCTTACATTGGGATGAAAGGGAGATATTATATTTGTTTCTATACAAGGTGTAGAGCTGGATGAACACAGCAGGCCAAGCAGCATCAGAGGAGCAGGAAGGCTGACGTTTCGGGCCTAGACCCTTCTTTCTGAAGAAGG